AAAAAGTGATTGTTGTTTTGATCGTCACGTTACACCTGATCTTGATCTCTGATTGGCCAAAATCGAAACTCTGGGGGGAAATTAGTAAATGCCGCATCAGTAATACGTATGAATTTTATAAATTAATGTTAAAGTTTAACTTTTAATTGTTATTTTTAGTAGTTCATATTTGTCACAGTTATAATTAGTCACATCTCAATATAATTATATTATTGGTTACAGCATTATATAGTAATATATATATTATATTATATAGCATTTTATGGAGTCATTGATAATTCTCATACTTGTCTGACGCAAATAACAGGGGTTGAATGGGACTAATTTAACTATGTGCCAATTAGTTTCATATTAATTTGGCAATAAGCACATACCCAATGTGATACTAATCATCACATGGTCTGGATACTTTAAAGGTCATTGATTCAAAACTATACTTGTTCTAAAACTGCTTATCGAAAAATTGATGTACCTAATCGTACATGATTTTGTATTGTCCCAAATAATTTAAGCTATATCGATATCCTACTTTCCGAAAAAAGATCATTGATATAAAAATATATCTGTACTAAATCAGTTTATCCATAGTTAAATTGAAATATGTACATAGTACTTACATGCTTCTTAAAGAATATAAAAAAAAGCATAATCCTTTTTTAAAATAACAATACTGATTACGAACTGACGTTTAACGCACATGACCATTTAAGATATGTACAATATATATAGCTGAGGTTCTACTTTTTATTTTCAAAAAATAAAAAGGCTTATTTTTTCAAGATCGTTTAATAAAATTCATGATATCATAAATTTTCAATTATTCCTATATTAGTAGCACCAAATAATGTCTACACATTCAAATAATTCATTCGAAAAGATAGTCAATAGTATCGAAGAAAAAAAATTATTAAAAAAACTGGATCTAAGAATTATTCCTTTAGTTACGCTTCTTTATACCCTTAGTTTCTTGGATAGGTATATACAGTATATCTTAATTCAATTATAGATTTTATAATAAATTCATAAGTCCTATTACTTTATTTTTAGGGTCAATATTGGAAATGCGAAGCTAGCTCATTTGGAACGTGATCTTAATTTAGTTGGAAATGAATATAATTGGTCTTTAGGCATATTCTTTATGTAAGCATTTCTATGTTTGATTTAATTTTTTGATAATTATGGATTTTTTAACCTTTTACGTTTGCAGAGGTTATGTAATATTTGAAGTGCCATCCAATATCGCATTAATAAAGATCAGACCTTCAATTTGGAGTAGGTTTCATTTTTTTTTTTCTTATACAAATTTAATTGGTAATTATTTATATCATTGATTTCCATTTTTAGTTTCAACACTCATGCTTATATGGGGTATCATAATGACATGCATGGCATTTGTAAGTACTAAGGATATTTAGTAAAAATCTATTTTAATAAACTTATTTGATTTAAATTCTGAATTATTTTTAAGGCGAAAAATTTTTCACAATTGATGGTTATAAGATTTTTATTGGGTGCTTTTGAATCTGGTCTTTTTCCAGGTGTTGTATTTTACCTTACAAGATGGTACAAGAAATCTGAACAAAGTTATCGAATCGGATTGTTTTTTTCTGGTGCTACAATTGCTGGTGCATTTAATGGTCTTTTGGCATTTGCAATTACAAATTTGGATAGTAAATACGGCTTGAATGGTTGGCAATGGGTACATAAATTTAAATATTTATTCTCTTGAGTACATTTTCGGATTCTTTTAATTTTTTGTTGTATATTTTTTTCCACTCCCCAGTTATTTATTATCGATGGTTTGGCGACAGTTATCGTTGCACTTTTCGCTTATTTTTTAATCTCTGATTCTGTGGAAACTGTTTCTTGGCTTACAGAAGATGAACGAAAGTTGGCTATTGATCGATTAAAACTTGATGCGGGAGATGCCCACGCAACTCATTTTGACAAAGTTGAGATCATCAAAGCTTTTAAAGATGTGGTAATGTATATAAAAATTTATTGTAAAATTATGTATTAACTTGTATAAAATATCTTTATTGATTTATCTTATTATTTAGAAAATCTATCTGTCTATGTTTGCATATTTTTGTATGCTTGTTACTTTATATTCTTTTTCTTTTTTCATTCCAACAATTGTAAACGGTCTAGGATTTAATACTGGTAATGTTTAACTTTATTATTGCCTGGCTTACTCAATCAATAAAAAATAATTGTCTCTAACTATTTAACTATCCTTTTTTTTTTTATAGTTATTTCTCAACTTCTTTCAACTCCTCCATTTGTATTAGGATGCATTTCATCAGTCACGATAGCGATATTATCTGATCGTAATAGAATTCGTAGTCCATATCTGATATTTTCTATGTTAGTTGCAGTTATAGGATATTCATTACTCGTTGCGCAGAGTACTAGTATTGCTTGTAAGTATTTATTTGTAAATTTTAATATTCAAAATACATGTATTTCTTTGCTATAGTAATATTTATTATTTTTAGTGAAATATACTGGTGCTTGTGTTGTTGGGTTAGGTGCATTTGCAAGTATTCCAACTTCAATTGCATGGTAAGTCTATGTACACTTATTTAAAAAAAAAATTAAATTTATTTTTATAACAAAAGATCCCATAAATTTAACATCTGTCTATCTAAAAAAATTTTTTAACTTTTTATTACTATAAAAAAAGGTTAACAAATAATCTGGCAGGTGACTCAAAACGAGCAGTAGGTTGCGCGATGATGATAGCTTGGGGTAACATAGGTGGAGTAGTAAGCGCACAATTATACACCGCTAATGAAGCACCTGACTATAAATCTGGACATTCTATTGCATTATCACTTTTACTTATTGGAGTAATTTTATCTATAATTCAATATTATTATTTGAAAAGAGCTAATAAATTAAAACTCAATGATCCTAATAAATTTTTAAATGAACTTAGTGAGGAGGAGGTTAAACATTTGGGTGATATGCATCCTTCGTTTATTTATAGCTTGTAATATATTATTATCTTTGTAATTTTGAAATTAAATTATTCGTATAATTTAATAAAATTTAAATCTTTTAACATTAGTGTTTATGTTGAAATAAGTATATCTTATAATTTATAACTATCATTATACGTGGGTGTCTAAATCATTTTGATTTTGGAGTGAATTTAAATGGTTAAAATTTTTTTAAATAGTGTAAACCGTAATTTAGAATGTCTGAAAATAATCCAGGTTTTAAAAATTATTTTAAGTATATTAAATATATATTTTGGATAACAAAGATGTCATGTGACAAAAAAATTATTTATAGTGAATTATTTTGTTTTAGAATGGAGAAATTTTTTGGGATGAAAATATATCATTCCTGCTTTCTCAACTGTAGTGCAGAAATTTTTTTGGACATTGCATTATACAACTACGTTCACTCTCATTTCATATTTATTCATTTTCTCCACGGAAAATTTTCGAATTATTAATTTATAAAATTTTTATCAAATTAGGGCAAATTTGCCCTAATACAGATTAAGGGATAACATATAAATAAAATAAAAATTCAAAGCGAAATTCGAAATCCAAACATAATATTAAAAATGTAGACGTTATTGAATCGATATCAAGAAAATTGAAAGCGAATAATCTATTACACATAGTCAAGATCAAATATATTTGATCTTAGTTATGAATTTTTAGATCATATTTCGCGTGCGACATCCATTAAATGTTTATAAAATTAATAAAAGTTTAATTTTTAATAAGTAAACAAGAATGTATAATTTATCGAATTTAATAAATAAAAATTTATTGAAACATAACGTTTAATTAAATTTGCATTTAAAATAGTTCGCAGAAATAAGTTTTAATTCGTATTGTTTGGCAAATTGGCGAGCTTTGAAATTAGCTCTCTTTGTTCCATCAAGTAATTGAAATTCGATACATGGAACTTGCTGTTCGTATAATAAAAACACATATCTTTTGAAATTGAAAATTGTTTAATAATGATCTAACAACTATATTGTCATTATTGAAACTGTATAATTTCAAACCATACCGATGTTCATTAGTTCCTGGTGGTGGAGATGGTCCTTGGTAACTATCAACTATTGTTGCATCTGTCAACCTTCCATCAGCTAATTAAAGAATTTTATGTTTAAAGGAACATAATACACTTATGAAAGAATTAAAGATTTGAATATAATTACATGGGATATTTCCAACGACCCAATGACGCCATTCTCCTTTAATTGGGTTATCGCGACTTGGAGCGTCAGGATCGACCTATAACAAAAGCGTTTACATGCAGTAAAAAGGCAGTGTAATTTACATAATTTAACAATATTACCATCAACAATGTAAATTTTTTATTAGAATCAGAATCTCCAAGAACAAATTTAACATCAGGAGCATTTTCAGTTTCTGTATGAAATAATAATTCAGTTAGCAAATTTGACACTATAGCATTAACGAAAAAGTACTTTAATAATAATGATATTTTTTTATTACCTTTAATTGTAAATTTGTTGCCAACTTCTACATTCTTTTCACCGTATTTAATATCAAGCAATGCTTCGGGCACGAAATCATCCACAACTTATAATATCAATAGAATTCAATAATTGTAGCATTTAGCGAATTTTTAAAAGTTATAATATTGTATCAATATTTTATCTTGTACCTTAATAAACGACAGAATTCAAAAAAAAAAAGTTGATAATACATGCCATCGTGAATAATTCCATCTTGTTTTAACGATGAATTAATATTTTGTACTTCCGCAATAAGCATTCTGTTTAATAATATTGGTCCTGGATGAAAGAAACAACAAATTAATCAGTTTTTATATTTTTTTACTTTATATAAGAGAGTGTGTGAAAATGCTATCTTAATAGTTATGTAATTTAAATTGCCGTATAAGTTTACCAGGCGTTATAACTAGTTTATGACATAGTAGACACAGCCCTAAACTATATTTGGAATTAGTCAATGATCCTATAATAAACAAGTTTTTAAAAGGAGCTGGGAGTTTAGGGTTCAAGAGTTTATCGGTTCAATAAAATTTAATAAAAGAAGCTCAGGGTATTAACTAGTTATTTTTAGGAGTGTATAGTTTTATACGGTAAGTAACATGACATTAACTGTTTAATAGGGGGTTAACGTAATTCTAACAAATTAAGGGTGGGAATTATGATGTCTGACGAAACTATTTCCGCATGACGAAATGGTTTCGTCAATGGTTTCGTCTGACGAAACCTTGACGATTGACGAAACTACTGACGATTGACGAAACTACTGACGATTGACGAAACGATTAACAATTGACAAAACTATTATGATTATAAAGCAAAAAATTTATTTACTTTAAATTTTGGTGACATGATTTACGAAGTGCTATAGGTAAAATTTCCACTTCACTCTCCGTATTATTTAAATTTTTACTAACTTCTTCATCTATTTTATCCTCACTATTTAAACTATCACTAACATCTTTACTATTTTCATAATTCTGTTCTTTTACTAAATCTGCTACTAATTCTGTAGAGTCAACATTACTAGTCATTAATTCATCATATTCAATTTCATCAAATTCTTTAGCATAATTAATTTGTGACATTTCACTATTACTATCTGATTCATTATTTTGAAGAATTTTATCAGTTAAATATACAATATTTTCAATATCAAAACATTCAATAATCTCTGAATTATCTATAACTTTTTTTATTTCAAAATTTTTCTCAATTTCATTATTATTTTCATCTAAAAATGTTACAGATATGATTTGTTATTATATGATAGTGATTTACTAAAAAGGTTAATTTTTTTTTATATTTGAAATACAGAAAGATTAAATTTGTACTATAGTTTGAATTTGGGAAAGAAAATACTTTTGTTACTATTTTTTATAAAGCTAACTTAATAAGGTCTTTTTGCAATTAGCAGAATATGAAATAATTGAAAAAATTTTAATTGCAAGTTGTTTAATAGAATTAAAGTACCATAATTTGTTATTCACTATAGTAGAGAAGTATCAGTTTTAAAACAATAAGATTAGTTAAAATCTTTTTTTCTTGAAATTATTGTATATATGTTACAAGATTTGTACTTTAAAATTGATTATATTCTTCTTGTTATTATTTTTAATTGCTGTTTTTATAATTGTTTAAAATTATTGTTCTTGTAATCCAATATCTAATAAAAATTATTAGAACACAAATTACTAACTTTTTCCATAGATTACTTGTACCAAAACTTCTTAAAAATATTTTATCATAACTAAATATTTTACTAAATAAACAACTTTTAGGCCTCTAAGAAAAATTATTTTATACAAGATTTTGTTTTAAAACAGTCTAGTTTTATTCTTCTTAGACTAAAACTCACTCTGTTATTTAATAAAATATGTAATTATATATTTTTAATAATATTTTAGAATTTTACTAAGCAAACAACTCTTATCTATTAAAAAAATTTAATTAAGCTCAGTATTAGCTTTAATTTGATATAAAAATAAACTAAAACTAATTAATTTATTTTAGAAAATAGTTTTAAAGGCTTTTTAAAATTCTTTAAAATTTTTTTATCTTTTTGTTTTTTACCTTCTCTCTGCTAAATTAGAGTACAAATATATTCTAAATTAACTAAAATTAGTTTTTTTTTCTTTTTTAGCAAGCCATGCTTTATCATTTATTCAATGTAATTATAAAACTATAAGGGTTCATATGTCTAACTTTATAACCAAAAAAAGTAGTGCACATAAATATGCGAATATTAATAGTAAGACTTGACTAGTTATCCTACTAGTACCTATTCATGATCTGCTATAAAGTAAATTTAATTTAATCTAGAGTCTAGACTAATTTATTCTATTCCTATTAGTATCACTATATGAGTCTACTTAGCTTATCATGACTTCTCGCCTATACAGTTAAATATTACCAGACTGATAATACTCTTCTGTATAGTAAAAAGGAAAAATAAAAATACTAAATATAAAGAACTGTATTACCTACAGTATATACTATATATATAAGGTGATAAACATATAAAGAAAAACAAAAACAAAGAGAAAAAAAGAAAAAAGAAAATGTTGCTCGAATACTATCTTTATAGTACTCAAGACTTTTGTAAAAATTTTATAAAGTACTAATACTACAGCATACTTTATATCTCTAAATTATTAATTTCTGTTCTGTAATCAGAAGGTGTCTAAATTCACTACTAACTATGTTTGTCTAATTATGTGTATTATTGTTTACTTTTGAGTTGTTTGTAAATATATGGTTTTTACTAATTTGGATATAGTATTGTTGATACTTTTTTGAGAGTAGGCTGAATTCCTACAAACGAGAAAAAAAGAAAATTTAAAGGACTGAAGGTGAAATATGAATGCAAAAAACTAAATAAGAATAAGTAAGTATAAAAGTATTTGTTCTAGTACAAATACTGTAGTATGTTTCTTCTTCTATTTCTCAACTTCAAACTTCTGTAGCTTCTTCTTTTTAACTTTAATACTCTGCAAGACAAACTTTTAGCTAAAATATTAGAATCTTCTGTTTTAGCTTTCTGCTACTTATTGCCTTAGAGGTCTTATAGGACTATACACTATATGCTTCTGTTTCGAACTAATATTTTACTAGGTTTTTTTGAGTTTAGTACTTGTTTTATAAAAAAGTTTTTGCTCTAGTATTGGTTTTAGTAATTAGCGAAAAGATTTGATTTTGTTTTATATGAAATTAACTAAAATTAGTAGTTAATCTTTAGATAATACTAATTTAACTATTTCTAATTTAAGTTTTTTTTATTTTATTTTATTTTATTTTATATTAAGATGAAGTTTTGCCTTTATCTTTATTAAAATTTGTATAAGATTCTATAAGAGATTTCTCAAAATTTACTAATTTGTTTATAAGAATTAAGACTTAAACCATAAATAGTAAATAATTATAAATAGTAAACTATCTAATTTATCTGCAACCTAAACCTACTAGAGTGGTTAAAAACTTACTTAGATTTGAATATTTATAATTATATTAGATGAATAACTATATCTGGTCTACAAAGTAGACCAAGTTTCAATTTTGTATTGTGCTAGTCTAAGTAGAGATATAAGTTATTATTGTTATATAGTTAGTTAGGTTGGCTGCATAGATATATATATGTATTGCATATTTTAAAATAACTTGAATATAGTAATTATTGTGAGTGAAAGTTTGTTGAAGACAGTTAAAAATATTATTTTGAGTTTTCCATTCAGAGAGTATAATACAGTAAGGCTTCTAAATTTGTTTATAGATATTATTAGAAAGTTTGAAAAAGAATTTGAAGATGAGCTTAGAAGCTGTTTTATATGTATTAGTATAAGTAGCAAGTAGTTTGATAAATAAGAGTAGAATAAATTCTTGAAGAGTAGTTTCAATTGTCAAAAAGTTTTAGAAGAGTTGTTAGTATTGTAAAGAGAAATAAGAAGTTAGTTGATTATATAATTCTTGAATTGTTTAAGTAGGAAGATTAAGTAATAAAGATATAAAAAAGTTTTGAATTATTTGTAGTATTAGACAATATATAAAAAGATTTTTAAAACAAAAGAGCCAATATTAAGAGAGTTTGAAAAAGAATTTGGAGATGAGTTTAGAAGCTGTTTTATATGTATTAGTATATGTAGCAAGTAGTTTGATAAATGAAAGTAGAATAAATTCTTGAAGAGTAGTTTTAATTGTTGAAAAGTTTTAGAAGGATTGTTAGTATTGTAAAGAGAAATAAGAAGTTAGTTGATTATATAATTTTTGAATTATTTAAGTAGAAAGATCAAGTAATAAAGATATAAAAAAGTTTTAAATTGTTTGTAGTATTAGACTATATATAAAAAGATTTTTAGAATAAAAGAGCCAATATTAAGAGTTTTCTTGAGTATTACAGAAGATATAGTTATTATGTATAAAGATATTTGAATAAAGTTAATAGAGATATAATAGTGTTAAAAGTTTATTTAATAAGTTTTTAATTCAGAATAATTTTTGAAGATTTAGTTAAAAAGTAGTAAAATTAGATAATCATTTTTGGTTATTATTAAAAAAAGCCTATATTATATTTTAGTTAATATATTAGAAGATATGAGAGATATTTTGTATATGCCTTTAAGAAGATCACAAGGCTATATTATGAAAATTATAAATATTTTTGATTAATTTTTGTGCAAGTTGTTTAACAAAAAAGTTTTTAAACTGCAGTATATAATGAGAATTATAAATATTAATATAGTTAAATTATAAGTAAAGTTAAAGTAAATAGTGTTTGGCTAAATAATTAGCATTATTATTATATATATTATTGTTATATATTTGTATTTTATGAAATTCAATAGTATTAAGTTTTTTATAATTTTGTATAAAATTAATAAATTATATATTTATATTCTTTTTAATTTGTATAAAGTATAAAATCTATTTTTAGCTTAGTTATACATACTAGTACTCCTATACTATACTAGTCTTACTACCACAAGCTATACTAACTATAAAAATCTTTGCTTAGAGCTATTATAAAAAAATTTTAATTTTATCTGACCTATATATTAATAGCTTGGAGTCCTAATATCTGTGATCAAACTAATAATATAATTAGTATTATATTATATAAAACAAATTATACCTTACTATAAAGCTCTTATTAAACATATTACTTTTACTAATATACAAAACTAAAATAAAGTCTTATATATCTATTCTCATCAATACTACTTTAAATTTCTATAATATTAACTATTACTTTATTCTCTACTCTAACTGCTATAGTATTAGCTTTATTAAATTAGATTCTAACAAATTTTATATTCTTACTATCTGCTTTGGCTTTCAAAAATATGATTTTTCTAAAAATTAATACTATATGCATACCTTTCAACAACTCTAAACTGTAATATATTTATATAACAGCTATTATACAACTTTTACCTCTCAAAAATTTAAATACTCTGAAGTCTCTTGACTTTCTATTTCTATATAATCTACTCTATTATAACTAATCTCAAACCTTAGTAAAAAGCTATTTAACAAAAGTAATATTATTTCTCAATCTTTAATTAAATTAAATTTTCAACTAACTTCTACTCTTTTTTTTCTTTCTGCTATTTTATTTTCACAAATAATATTAACTTATCTATAGCTCAAATTGCTACTTATACCTATTACTTCAATATCTATACAATTTGCTAAAAATAAAATATTATCTGTATAGTTCTTCTTAGAGACTTATTTACAATTTTTGCTTTGAAAAAATAAAAATTTTAATTAAACAAACTCAACTACTCAACCTTACTAGCAAATAAAAACTTATATTTAGTATTATTAAATATATTACTAAAACAAAAAAAAATAAAGCTTTTTTAAATATATTCTACAAATATTTAATAAAAATAAAAAACTTCAATTTATTTAAAATATTTCAAAAGATCTTAACTAGTTTGCAGAATAATCTATTACAGAAAAAAATATAATTATTTATATAACTAAATAATCTTTTTACTACTAAAATTTTTAGATTTATTAAACTTTACTTAATTAATTTTAAATCTAATTAAAACTACTAACAAACCTACTTACAAGCTATAAATAA